GAGGGGCAGTGGGAGGGGCAGTGGGAGGGGCTGCGGGCGAAGCTGCGGGATGGGTTGTGCACGCGCCTTTGGGGGGCGACGAGGGCGGCGGCTTTCCCCACGCTGATGCAGCGGGTTTCCTACTGCGGGTGCTCGTGGGGTTATCGGGATCAAGGCAAGCGAGCAAAGTGTCCGCGTTACCATCGTGGCTCCATGCCACCTGCATCTCTGAGGGGGAACTGGAGACAGGATTGCGTAGATACGCCAAGGTGAGAAAATTGGATGCTGCATTCTGGCCGGCGGGTTCAACCGTTGAGTATCTCCCGCCCCTCGAGAGCAAGTATGCGCTCAAAAGTTGCCAGAATAATAAGCACTTGTTTGGTGCGTTGTCAGTAGTCCATTGACTGAGGCAAGCAGGCATTGAGCACACTCCGCCCTAGACGAAGTCGGAAAAGTCGCAGCTGAAGTGGCGTGAAGCAACAAAAAAAAAGCCTCCACTGTCCCGGCTTGTTTTGGTGGTCCGCTTTGGGTTTGATGTGCGAGATGAAACCCAACCTGTGTGCACTTACAACCCCGCTATAAAGACTTGGCAATACACGGCAACATGCGCTTGGACAGCACGGCAGAGGCAAAAATTGAATAACACGCTGTTGCTTCATCCCGACTTGCTGACTGACCCCTTCCCAACTTTAGAAAAGCTCTTTTAACCGGCACGGCCAAATCTGCTTCTGCATCTTTTGCACATGTGTTGACGCGACGCCATATCCCTGCGCCCGTTCTTGTCTGCAGGCCAAAGTGGACTTCGTCGTGGATTGTCTCAAGCCTTTGACTTCAGAAGCGAGAGAGAGAGCAGGTGCGCCGATGTGGTGATGTTGGTGAAGGTGCTAGCGGGCAGGAGGTATTCTTTTGCTGCCCAGCACCGCTCACCTTAGTACAATAGGTTGAACACGTGCGACGATACCCCTTTGAGTCGGAGCTCTCGCTGCTCGGTGTGCAGAGGTGGGTGACGTTCGGGTGCTCCATGCTTTCGGTGCACATCGTGTATCGGCGCATTGATGCTGTTCTCTGTTTGGTAGAGTTTTCGGGTATGCACTTACGAAGTGCACTGCACGAAAGTTGCTCGTATGACTTGCCTGTTGTCCAGTCGCCGCCTGGTGATGGGAGTCCACTCCTCTGGTATGGGTGGGTAGTATTGTTTTTTGAGCATCGACACGAGTAGGCGAAATTCTCTACGGCCTGCAGGTTGACTTCACGTTTCAAGGGCGGGGCCCGCCCTCTGCACAATTTGACGCCGGTGTTTCATGTTGGTATGCCTGCGTCCGTTTTCCGTGTTTTCGTGTTTTTTTGCAAGCGATCGCCGTGCGTGGAGGAATTGGATTTGGGCGGGGCGTTTACGCACTCAAAGAGCTGGAGCTCAGCCTGGCGCGGAACGCTGCACCGCACGCAACCACGACGGAGGAAGGCAAGGTGGTTGGCTACGATGCAATTTTCCACGACACGAGGTACAAAAACTTCGAGGGGGACCCGATCAAGAGGGAGATGCGCATCGGGCCTGATGGGCACCACGAGAACAACCACGGGCCGGATTGTAGGAAGCTGTACAGTGGCTTGACGACGTGTAAAGATATCGGTGGGGTTAATCTCACCCGCCACGAGTCCGACCATGGGGTTAAGGCCATGTACTTGCGGTCTATCAACAACATGACCTTTCCCAATTTCACGTACTCGCTCAGTGTCATCAACGAGCTTCAGAATAGGAAGTACAACAGGAAGCTACTAGGCGCCCTCTTGAGCAGAGTCGACGGCCACGCCTCAACCAGTCTGTCGGGGTGCCAGGCTGCACTCTGGACATGCGGCAGGTGTTTCTGCGACAAGCCGTTGGTGCGCGTGTTTGACTGCTTTGGGCGGCTTGACCTTGTTTTCCTCAGCTCCGTTTTAGCGCCTTGAGTTTTGTGAATCCTTACGGAAACACGTGATGCATTTGGGGGTCAAGGTCGGACCGGGCACGCGTTATGGTGCTACAGTGGGCGCAGGCTCAAAGAGGGATTGGTGTCCTGTGTGTGCATGGTTTATCCCGTTTTTTTTTTTTGGTCGTGTACTTACCCAGGTATGCAAACGTGTTTCGCCGAGGCGAGATAGGCTTGAAGGGTCTTCCGTTGTTTGGCTGTTTGTGACAAAGTACACGCCCTTTCGACCGAGGCAGCCCGAGACAAGAAGCTCCCATGCAACATGTGTGGAAAAGAAAAAATAAAGGACGATAGTGCCTCTGCGGAGTATGGACACACCAGGCGTGTTTTGCGCGGTAGGATTCGAGTTTCAACGCGCTGAGTTGAGAGGGTCCGGCTTGAGTAGAACACTGAAACTAGCACCTCGAGAAGAAAAAAGGCGGCAGTGCCATTGTTGTTGATCAAAGGCGCTCACGCGCGAGAAAAGACACACACGTTGTGTTGAAGGACATGCAAACGCAAATGTCCTGCTGACAACTTGCTACTGTTCATGGTTTCATTTTCCGTCGATCGCCACGCTTCAGCCAGCGGCGTCGTGTGGTCCTTGTGCGCTAAACCATGTGAACGCTGCTTTTGGTCGCCAATGTAGGCCTTCGAGGCAACTTCATCCAAATGCTCGCAATCACCCTCCGGGGCCACCCCCGTCCCGAGGCCCAATATTCGCGTGAATGTTTCAGGACCATATTGCGCCGTTCTCAAACCACCCACGTCCTCTACACAAAACAGCAAGGCACACTCCTCTTTCTGTCGGAAGTTGCCTGCCTGCATCAGGAGCACAAGAATAGCATTACTCGACGACACAAGTATGGTGATGGCGAGCATTGCTTGTCCCAGAGGCGGCAAAGGCACGCCATCGGGCGTACTTTAAAACAAATAGAGACTGCACAGGCATTCTTGTTTGTTGTCGGGGGCGAAGGATGGGCACACGACGACACTCTGTCCCCGGTTTGAGTCGCTCACGAGTTGTCCAGGGCCCATGTGGAGCTTACCAACAAAAAAACTCCCGACTTGACCGGAGCTGTGAGCACTTTCTGGTGGTTTCGGCTCTGGTTCGGCTCACCCAGATTTGGACGGCCGGGGCTATAAATCCGAACCCACGGTTCTCGCACGAAGGCATGCCCAATTGACACCCACTCCCTTCTGCCAGGGTCAGTCAGCTTTGTATGTACATGCCATCCATGATCCTCATGGTTTTTGTGCGCTTTGTCGTGTTTTGGTGTGGTGAAACACCTCAAACAGGGCCGTGTACCCAGCCTTTCGGCCGCCAGGGTGAAGGGAACCGGCGACTTAAGAAGACGTTTGCGGTGTGCATGACTCACCACATGCTCCCGACCCATGCTGATAATCATGCACTGCATCCATGCACCATTTACGGCGTTCTGAATCACCGCTACGGCGCAACATCATCGAAATGCCCGCAAAGGTACCCTCACGCGCCATCCCCCACATTGTTACATATCGATATCCTTTTCTAGGCAAAACAACCATGTTGCACCCGTCTTAAATTTGTTCTTCTTGGTGGAAAAGAACGAAGTGCCCTTCTCTTATTGTTGGAATGTATCTGTGTGCATGCGTAGAAAACGCGACATGTTGTTTTAAAACGCCGAACATCCGCGCCAAAATTGCGCAGTGCTCCCGACCAGTGCCTGAGTAACGCTCCTCGCCGCCGGCAATCACTACTCTCTTGTTGTGTTCTCAGGCGCTAGACTAGTTCTCACACGCTATTTGTTTGCAGTGCGCATTATTGATATTTTTTCCTGGGACGCTGCTAGCAGCTGCTTATCATGCGTGAGGGAAGAGGAAAATTATGCAATATTGAAAAGGTTGGAAGACAAGGCGCACCGACATGAAAGTGGTCAGAGGGAGACACTGCGCTGTGACAAGATAGCAGGAGGGCTGCGACAAACCTACGTGTGGAACACACACGGGTGCCCGTCCAAGAGACGTACGTGCGCAGTGTAGCGCCAACAGCGACCGTTGTGGTTTGCCGTGTGTG